GTTTTAAACGAATGGGGACTGCCTGTGGGTCTACTGAGAAGGAGATGGGAGTGCCCTTATAGCAGCCTAACTCACTACTGAAAACGTCAGAGTAGTCTGTAAATAAGGAGTCAACATCAGAAGTTGAGACAGCATGGACTCCTTTTATACTAAGGCCGAGAGAGGGGAACCAATCCAACCCCAAAAGACTAGGGAGGGCACCATTAACAACCACTAAAGGCAAATGGCCTTTAAAGGTTTGGAATTTCACGAGAAACTTGCCTTTCCTGAGGACGGGGATGTTCTTTCCTTGGTAGTCTCTCAAGGTGAGATGGCACTTTTGAAGCTGTTTCTTTGTCAGTCTGGGCTGGATCTTCTTAAGCGTGTCCCAAGATATGATTGAGAGCGCTGACCCCGTGTCTACTTCCATGCGGCAGGGATTACCTTCTAGTAAAACAGAAAGTGTAATTTTATTGGGGGTATAGAGTGTGTGGTTGGCTTGGTAGCAAGTATGGCATTTTTCTACTTGCCTTCGGGGAACAGGAGAGGAAGGATATCTTTGTGGAGATGTGCGCGCTGCCTGGCAGACTCTTGCGAGGTGACCTTTCTTGTGGCAGTTGTGGCAGGTGGCGTTTCGGAACCTGCAAGATGTCCGGGAATGGGAACCTCCACAGGTCAGGCATAACAGAGTTTGTTTTGGACCACTGTTGTTTCTTGGCCTCGCTCCTACCTGCGGCTGTCTCGTTGGTTTGAGGCGATGCACATCGGAGTATTCTGCCGGGTCATCCTCACTTACCGCTTCTTCAGAGTGTACGGAGGAAGTGCTAGGTCTGGGAGTGGTGCCCTGGATCTCAGCTGCGGACTGTGCTGCAAGTTCTGCAGCTAAGGCTTCCTCAACTGCCTGGGGGAGGTTTAGGTCTCTTCTAGCCAGCGAACGCCTCTGGAGTTTTAGATCCCTCACCCCACAGACGAGTTGGTCTAGTAGCATGTCGTCCAAATAGTTTTTGAACTCACATTGTAGAGCTGCTGTCCTCAGGGCTGCCATATATTGGTTTATGGATTCCCCCTCAGCTTGCTTCCTCATCCTAAAAGCGAAGTGCCTAGCAATCTGAGACGGTTTTGGGGAGTAGTGGTTGGATAGTGTTTCCACCAGCTCTGCCCATGGGACATTCCCTATTTCTCGTGGGGCCAGGAGTGCTGTGGCAGTCTCATATACTACAGCCCCACAGTAGCTGAGGAAGTAGGATTTCTTCCTCTGCTCTGAAGCTTCAGCCAGTCCAATAGCATCAATAAAGTGGTTGAAGCGATTTTTATATGAGTCCCACTTTTCCTCATCGGGTTTAAAAGGGGGAAATACTGAATTGACATTCATTTTGGGTCCCTCAGTCTCTTGGTAGACTGGTCTGCCTCACAGGGAGCTCGTTGTCTTGGATTGATGCTGCTTGGGGGCGTGGGCGGCTGTGGCTACAGTGCCCTATTCTCACTCAAGGACTTCGGCTTTTCTGAGGTGTTTGGATTTTAGTGCTCTTTTGCGAGCGTTAGGCGGCTGTGGCTGTGGTGCTGTACTGACAGCGCTTTAAAATTCGAGCCTTTTTTTATTATTATTATTATTTTTTTATTATTATTATTTTTTTTTTGGCAAGGCGGCTGAGGCGCTCGCAATTTCACTGGGGAGTCTTCACTTAGAGGCGGCTTCTGTAATTAGTGCCCAATTGTGATCGAGGTGGCTGAGGCTCTCAGCGCCGTAGCTTGCTCGGGGCTGCAGCTCAGTGACAGCCGTTAGGATTTTCGCGCCTTTTTTTTTCGCGCGCGCGGGCGGCTGCGGCTTCAGCGCCCGACTTTCCCTATCTGTGGTGCTCTAACCCGGTTGATCTAACCTGAGCTTTCACTTTTGCGCTGACAGGCTGCTGAGTCCGATGGCTCGGTAAGCAAACGGCAAGCGGCTGCGGCTTCCTTTTGCGCTGACAGGCTGCTGAGTCCGATGGCTCGGTAAGCAAACGGCAAGCGGCTGCGGCTTCCGATGACAGGCTTCTGTTCCTTTAGAAAATGCTCCTGGCTAGCCTTCAAATCCCACCTTCGTCGCCAGTGTTGTATTTCAAGGGAAAGAGAGGCTTAGACCAGGGCATACAATT